TACAAATGACTGGAGGTCACCAGGTAATACTAATCCCGTGCGAATAGGGCTTTAGAGTGGTTACAATCATCCGGGTTTAAATCGCGCTCAAATTGATTTGATTTTGATGCAATATTTACACTGAAGCTCGCAGGCGGCTATGGTAAGGGGCGTGACATTTCCCGACCAGGCGCCGAGTGCTGCCAATCACAGCACACACTGGCCCAGCTAACCAATCACAGCACATTTGGTATTTCAGAAGGCGGGCCTTCATTTGATACAGGAACTATTCGAGCCATGCATGCCAGACTGGGGAGAGAGGTGTTGTATTAATGTAAAATATGTGAAAAATAATGTGTTTTTCGAACAACCTAGCATGAGAGCCTGTTCTAGTACAACCCCAAAACAAAATCAAGACTTTGTAAAAGAGCATAATAGGACCCCTTTAAACTGTTTTTTTCTTCTTCTGTATAGCCAATTCTATATTAAACTGTAATGATAATGAATGAGGATCAGTGTTGAGGGTAATGCATTACAAGTAACACAAGTTACGTAATCAGATTCATTTTTTCAAGTAACTAGTAAAGTAAAACATTACTTTAATTTAATTTACAAGAAAATATCTGAGTTACTTTTTCAAACAAATAACGCCAGTTAATTTGTATGTATTGACTGACAGCTCTCGTGTTGCCATGTTAAGAAGAATCAGGAGTAAGTGCAGAGGTGTTTTGTGCGCTGTGTGAACATGATGCTTACTGTAGTTCTAGACTAAATATGAACATGCATTTACTCATCTCACTGAACAAAAACAGATTCAGTATTCCTCAAAATGAATAAAACAATGAAATGCAAATTCAGAATATGATGCAAACCTGCAATAATTAAATATGTTAATTAACATAAATATCCTTTATGTATTTAATCACATTTTATTAACCAATGTCTTTGCTGCTGACCTTCAATGATCCAATTCAACCATACTAGTAAGCAAAAATTACTTTAGATAAACATAACATCGTTTTTCTTTATTGCTGAAGAGTGTTAAACTTTCTTCTCCTGAATCCTCTACAGTACAGACATCAATTTACATTTCCTTCAGCCTGAGGCTTATTCATTTCACTTTTGGTGTGAAAGGGCTTTTACATTTGCCAGAAATACACTGGCCCAGCTAACCAATCACAGCACATTTGGTATTTCAGAAGGCGGGCCTTCATTTGATACAGGAACTATTCGAGCCATGCATGCCAGACTGGGGAGAGAGGTGTTGTATTAATGTAAAATATGTGAAAAATAATGTGTTTTTCGAACAACCTAGCATGAGAGCCTGTTCTAGTACAACCCCAAAACAAAATCAAGACTTTGTAAAAGAGCATAATAGGACCCCTTTAAACTGTTTTTTTCTTCTTCTGTATAGCCAATTCTATATTAAACTGTAATGATAATGAATGAGGATCAGTGTTGAGGGTAATGCATTACAAGTAACACAAGTTACGTAATCAGATTCATTTTTTCAAGTAACTAGTAAAGTAAAACATTACTTTAATTTAATTTACAAGAAAATATCTGAGTTACTTTTTCAAACAAATAACGCCAGTTAATTTGTATGTATTGACTGACAGCTCTCGTGTTGCCATGTTAAGAAGAATCAGGAGTAAGTGCAGAGGTGTTTTGTGCGCTGTGTGAACATGATGCTTACTGTAGTTCTAGACTAAATATGAACATGCATTTACTCATCTCACTGAACAAAAACAGATTCAGTATTCCTCAAAATGAATAAAACAATGAAATGCAAATTCAGAATATGATGCAAACCTGCAATAATTAAATATGTTAATTAACATAAATATCCTTTATGTATTTAATCACATTTTATTAACCAATGTCTTTGCTGCTGACCTTCAATGATCCAATTCAACCATACTAGTAAGCAAAAATTACTTTAGATAAACATAACATCGTTTTTCTTTATTGCTGAAGAGTGTTAAACTTTCTTCTCCTGAATCCTCTACAGTACAGACATCAATTTACATTTCCTTCAGCCTGAGGCTTATTCATTTCACTTTTGGTGTGAAAGGGCTTTTACATTTGCCAGAAATGTAACTTTTTATTATTAAGAACAAACAAGCAAGTCCAGCCAAGATGAGAAATAGTAATGTAAAATAACGTAACGCATTACTTTCCAAAAAAGTAACTAAGTAACACAATTAGTTACTTTTTCAGGGAGTAACACAATATTGTAATGCATTACTTTTAAAAGTAACTTTCCCCAACACTGATGATTATAATGAAATGCAAACATTCATATATAAATGTTATGTTTATCTGCATTACACACATAACAGAGAGAAATTTAGCTCTGTATATTAGTAGGTCATTGCACTATTTCAACATCCCGTTTGTCTGTCTGTCAGTCAGGAGGTCGGTCTGACCCTGACTATCCCCATCATCTCAGCTGGCAGTTTCGGTCTTTCCTGTGACTACAAGGACAAACTCACCCGGCTGCTTCCTCCGGCACGCAAAATCTCAGAGTTCTTCGTCCATTTCTGGAATGTATCCTTCACCAATCTGAAACCTATGTGGAAGACAGCATATATCTATAAAAAACTCGACAACACGGAGGAATGCTTCTGGTATTCACAATACAACATGTAAATGACAACACGACACAACACAGACACACACACTGAGACATCTGTCCATTCGTCTGTCAGGTACATCAATGCTCTGGAGGCGCCTTCTGCTCTGTTTGCCTCCAACATATCCAGAGAGATGCTGAGGAGCCAAGGGGACCTGGAAGACAAGATGAAAGCTCAGGACCGACACAGCAACAGTGAGTAAAATCTATCTATCTATCTATCTATCTATCTATCTATCTGCGTACCTATGCATCCATCCACCAACCTATCCATCCATCAATCCATCTATCCATCTACACATCTGCATACCTATGCATCCATCCACCCACCTATCCATCCATCAATCCATCTATCCATCTGCATAGCTATGCATCCATCCATCCATCCATGCATCTGCGTACCAATGCATCCTTCCACCCAACCACCTATCCATCCACCCAACCAACCACCCATCCATCCACCCAACCAGCCACCCATCCATCCACCCAACCAACCACCC